TGAACGCAATCGTCTTTATGTGCTAAGGTGGCTATTAATGAGTTGCTTGAAAAAAAAACACTAATTTCAAGTTGGAGGGACGAAGTTTTGTATATTGTTTGCTTTGACATTACTTCTTGAACAACCAGTAGTTCTGCAGGATTATAGATGTTGTTACTGACTACGTGACTCAAACTCAAATTTTTGTGGTGACTATTTGCCCACTTTTGAGGTTCATCAACTTTTTTGCTGGAAGGAAAATTTATAGCAGTTGACAGGGAATATGGCACATTTATGATTGGAGATTATATCCTGAAGATTCTGAATTTTATTGGATTTTGAGGAGCCGAAATGAACTGAAAGTGCTTCATTTAGATAAAAACATCAACACGTACAACCAAGCTCTGCGTGATGAACGATTGTTGTTCGGCTCTGTAAGTGTTAACGGTATTATTGTCGCATGCTTGGTATTGGTAATTATTTTCAGAAGAGAACGAATGGTCCCCTTCTTCGTAACGAGCGAAGTATACCACTCAAGCCTTGGTCAGATCGTTCGAAATCTAAGGAGAGAAAGCAAGATGTTCCTCCAGTTGTAAACAGAACTGCACAATTCCCTCGTGTATCTCCTCCAGGGCCAAAACTGTTTGCGACAACTACATCGAATGCGGATGAACGGAAGCGGACACCTTCCTGTGTCACAGATCAAACTGCCCGTCATCCCAAGGAAGGGGTCATGCCGAATGACCCGCGTGAATCTAGCGTTCCATTAAAACGGCGTAGTATACCTAAGCCACCACCCTTACCTTCAAAAAAATTTCGAAGATCATCTCCCTGCCGTGTCCCGCCCCAGTCACATAACAATATTCCCGATCCCTGTCGCGTCAACTAGTTCAAATACCGTGCGAGAGAAATGTTCCACTTCATGGCACAAACCCAGCAAGAGCGGCGTATATGAAGAGGCCTCTCAACCTTCTAAACAAGTGCAAGAATCCAACATAGAACGAAGTCGTGGTGCAGCTAGTTCTCATTGTTCGACGGATTGTTCGGATCGACAAAGCGACTCGTTTTCAAAGTACGTATCGAGGTATGTCTGGATTATCATTGAGCTTCCTAACTAACTTCACAGTAGTGGTACTGGACCGAATTTGTTGTGAGAGTCCATTATTTTGATTTGAGTGTCATGATTTATTGCTTGTTTACCTCTACGATAGCATCGACTGGACACATAAAGTGAATATCGATGAGTGTGTTTGAGGACTGGTGTGAGAAAAGTGCAAAAAATTTTCATAATTACTCAGAGGCAACGGTGTGAAGAGGGCTTTGCTATTTCCTACATATTATTACGGTACAGGTTGAAAAGTGAGGAGAGAAATGCACAGTGCGCAAAAGATCCTCATTGTGCATAAAACGCCTGTCTGTCCGTATGTTGGTCCTTGCATGTATATAACGGGTCGGACTGGGACATGGTCTGTCGCTGCGCCTGTCGTGTGTGCGCTGCTTTTTCATGTGTGATATGTTGAGGGGCCACAGGCGGTGGGTGTTAGAAAACGAACGCGACAAAAACTGATAATTGAGTGAAAATGTGTGCTTCCACATGTGATGAAGCGGTCAGATGGTTGGTCGCCGGTATGAATTGATAGTAACTGATACGGGCTGATAATTGGCGTTTCGATGCAAATACCTGCAATTTTGTCATGCTTATTGTGGCCATGATTGCCGCTCACACTGGAAAATGATTGAACCATTGCGTACCGCATGCTACACATGGTCCAGCGCGCCGACGTACCTTCGTGGTCGCATGGTGCTTATTTTGAGACACTAAACACTGCTTTTTCAAGGGTGTGTGGGAGTCTTATTCAACTCTAATCGCGTAAGAGCATGATTTTAAATCTAGAAAACAACATATATACGTGGCACTGCGCAAGTTGAAGGAAGACTTAGGTTATTGATTCCTATTACGGAACGCTGCAGTTGCATTCATCTTGATTTATGATTAATTGTTGTAAAAGAGAAGCACTCCCTGTGTGTTGAGATGACACATTGACATCGAATGTTTAGAACGATATTAAAGACTTCATCTAAAAAACTTTTTTGCCTCTATTTTCTCACTTATAGTTTTCAATGGACATTTACAATCCCTGACGTACTGCCGATCACCTTACTACCTCTTGCGCGTAATAACAAACAAACCCGTTTATCGAAAATATGCATCAGATCTTGTATAAATGTGAATATACATGGTAAATGTAAAGTGCTTATACAATAGATGATTACGATATGTATAAATAAAATATTAATATTCGTCCCACAGCACGCGGCGACAAGTGGAACAGGTGCCGGCCACAAGCGCCCTGCTGCGAAAAAAACGCCGGGGTACGCAATGGAGTGAAGGTTTGGGTGAAGGAGTGTGGTAAGGTAACGATAACGCACTGATAAAAGTCGACGATAATTACTAAGTAATAATATGATAATTAAGTAGGAGTAAATTTCAGTCGAGTTCCGGGTAATGCACTAGTTTAACCATTGAAGTTTGAATAGGTGCACGATTGATGAAGATCTAAAGCTTCCTATCCCTAGTCATGAAATTTGGTGGGCCTATTAAAAGGCTTCAACCATCTGGGTGCCTATCAGAGATAATACTAGATGCTCAGCAAAGGAGCACGTTTCATTCTCATTCCAATTGTATTTTCAATAAAACATGGTTAACCGCTACACTGTCTGATCCAAGTACTGCTGCAGTCCGCAGGACTATGACAAGTACCATTCTATCTCTGTGTGCTACTGCACGCATCCCGCGATTAGCTTTGGTGGAATTAAACACTGGGACTTCAGTCGAGGCATTTCACGATGTTTTGTTAGTGGGCAGGATAGCCCTTTAGTCTGATGTTCCACGGATCTTCAAGTTTTAGTCAAGCTAAATGTGTGATACGCGCGCTAGCTTGCTAAGGTAAATGGTGAGAGAGCGTCAGTGTGCTGGTATTCTTTACAAATCGAAAAACTTGCAAAAAATTTCATTACATTCTGTTGCAGTGTTTGTAAGGATTGTGGGTGGCTCTTTCTTCACTAAATTTGATGTTAACACGTCGGTATGGTCTTGAAGGCGGTATTGTCTGCAACGTATTACCGAGATGTTTTTTCAACTTACGAAAAACGTAGTAAGATCCTGGAACAGTGTTTGTGCTAGAGAGATTGTAAATGACAACGCCTTTGTGGGCAGATCGTTTGCTGGGAAGTACAATCTTACATTTTGGTTCCGAGGTGACCGGGCTTGGGAAGATCTGGAGCAATAGCTAGCGATAGAGTGGAGAAATGAGATGCGGTTGGCCGAGCGTGCGCTGAAAGGACAGCTTCTTTGTTTTATTTATTTTAAAGTGCACTCATAGGAGTGTGCCCAAGTAAGGCAGGAAAAATAACACAAATAACTGAATTCTGAAATCGACTATATACACTGCGTTTCATAATTATAGGTCCACCCTAAATTTTTGCTACCCCAAAGTTGCTGTGCATTTTTTGAAAATGCTGCTATAACCATTAGATTCCTCATCACGGAAAACTTTCATAGTGTTCTTCTGACAAAGTTCCAATCTCAATTAAACCAATTAACTTTTTCAGAACGAATTTTCACTGTTTCATAAATATCGGGCCAGTCATAAAAATTTTGCATTTCTCATGATCCGTGAAGGGAATCAGGGAAGGGGGATCTATGTGACCTTAGTCGGCATCGAGTTTACCATACCTCGTGTTACTCGCCTCTCTTCCCAGTAACAGGACCAAGCCAGAGCACTTACTGAAGTGGGGCGGGCTGAAGAGCACAATTTCCTCTCATGTCGGCCGGCTCATACTGCATAAGCATCTATGTGCGAAATCCTGGTCAGTGCGGGAAGAAGTGTAGCTTTGGTCAATAAAGACTGCGTATTAGTCAAGATAAAGAGGAATTGGGCGTCTTCTGCCGAATTGTACGAGGAGTCCCAACAAAGTCCGTGCTGAAATGCGGCCTTCCATGAGCAAAACCACCGTGTGGTGAGTGAGCCAGCAGAGCAATAACATCCTCAGCGGGTTGATCCTCGCTACAAGATTGCACGTCTCCATTTCTCCGTGGAAAAGGGCTCAACTTAACCCTTTCGGCCCTGGCGGTGGCAATTGCCACCACCAATTTTAAACGCTTGCATTGCCGCTGAAACAGCATGGTTTTTCTAATCCTGCTAGAGGTTGCTTCAGCCAACCTTCCCCTTCCTAAATGAGCTGAACCTGCGATTTCATTGTGTGTTGCTGTTAGTATTACAAGTATTTGTGTACAAGTGCAACAATGACGGCGTTGACCCCCGCAACCGGCCAGTGTGACTTTTTCATAAAATACCTGAAGTAGATCCATTCCTAAATCAAAATTATGGGTTATAATATTATGCAAGACTATAAACTTTTTCGGAATAACGATGAAATTTCGAATTGTTTCGACATAAGCTCAAAAACTAAGTAGGTGGGCCAATTTTCAAAGCTTCTTAGTTTCTTTATTTGTGATCGAATAGCTTCCTTCGCCATAATGATACCTATATACTCACAAGCAATAAACAATAGCTAGAAGAAAAATTTCTCCACGGGGAAAAATGGAAAAAATTCAGGTCCGAAAGGGTTAATGAACGAAAGTGTGGCTGTTAAGACCCTTTGCGATCTTGGACTCTTTCTCCTTGTCATGCTACAGGTGATCACGGATCGACGTGAAAAAGTTTATTCTAGGTGGATCTAATAGAAAAAGAGGGTACAGGAGGGTTCCGTGATAATAGCAGATGAATTTGATGTAAGGTAATTTTGGCGGAGAATCTCTAGGTTTGAGGCACCTTTGAACGACTGAGCGGCTAGAGCTCATATTTGTTTCCTTTCACAAGGATTCCATAGGGTATCGTGAAGTTCTTTTGAAGCAATTTTTACCATTTTTTTGACAACAGTCCCCTCGAACCTTGACTTTTACGCCCGATAACGCAGCTGTCCGTGCCGGTTCTTCCACCCCAGATGGAGGTGCAGGAAAAAATGTGGCAGCTATCTGGTGGCCACAATGTTATCTAAATCAGATTCCAATAGAGAATGATAAAAGCCTCAATTGATATAAAGTTTCACAGCAAAGAAAAGTAAAATGGAACAGCCGAAGAGCCGAAAACGTCGATCATCAGCGCACAGACAAATTTCGACCCTAATGTAATAGCTAATGTGGTTACCAGCTTTCTATAACGTATCGACCATCCCATTATTGAAAATTTGTGACGTTTTTTGTTATAATAAAATCTCTCGACAAGTGATCTGTAGTCATATTTGCGAAACGGTGAAAATACGTTCCAAAGATGACATCTTAATAGTCCTAAATCGAGATTTCTCCAAAAATCGAGTATCAAGGTTTTTCGTTGTAACTATTGGTAATAGCGGCATTTCTCAAAAATGCACAGCAACTTTGGAATAGCAAAAATTTAGGGTGGACCTATAATTATGAAACGCAGTGTATCCTGACGGTAGCTCTTGGTAGATGGTTATCTGTCAGTGGTACTAACAATTGCATACCGAGAAAACAAAGCATCAAGGAAATTCAGGTCGCTAGCGTTAGCAAACTTCCAACCTCAAAATGATTTCTGCACGCTTAACTCGTCAGCATAGGAGCAAGCAGAGCTCTTATTGTTTCGAATTTGTGAGATGAGATAAATGAAGCGGTTGCTGGCGTTAGGCGTAACAACACTTGCCGAAAGGGTATCAAGGATCCGTGTTGGTGCAGAGACAGAAGGGCAAGCATTTTCTTTATTCCATTCGAGATGTGATGATAAAATGTACTCTGTAGTCTGTAGTCTCTGTAGTCTCTTGAAGAAGTTATCTCTCATGTTGTGTGAATGTAAGGGGTGAATGTGAAGGGAACGTAAGTACGCTAAACCTGCTTATTCTGTAACTAATTAGGAAGTGTCTGATAACCGTGAGCTATAGAAGTTCTTGATGGTAACTTTTTACAGGGACGCCGCTGCATCAGAAACGAATCCTAAAGTAGGTTCGTCTGCTGCTGGAACGGACATTGTGGTGGGTTCGCTCTTTTGTCTTTGATCATTTTCCACCTTTCACATCAAAGCCATTAATGCCGAGTTTGAAATGAGGAGGATTGTTGTAGAACACAGCTCATGGGACCAGAATACATCGAAAAGCATTGAATCTGATGCTAACGATTGCTGGTGGCGTGGCGATTCTCATGAACATGTACTTGATCGTGAACACGAAAATCTGGCGCTACGAATCGGAATATGTCATTAGGTTCGGAGTTGAAAACAGAAAATCTACGGAGAATACAATACCTCTTCGAGGTCGCAGTAGGTGACAAGAATTGACTGGACAATACTCATACTGACCCGAAAAAGGCAGTCGGAGGCAGCAATCACGATCCATTCTTAAGGGTTTATAGGTGAGGGAGCACTGAACTGGAACACAGGACTGAAAATAGTCGAGGAAATTTCCGATGAGGGGGTCGGATTCGCTAAGATGGGGCGAAATTTTTGGATAGGCAGTAGACGTTGACTCTAAGTTGGACATTTGGAACTTTATTTGTTTCCGATTTAAGGCCGCTGTGATTTTGCTCTCATCAATTGATGCCTGAATCAAATCCTGTCTAGTGAATGATAGAACCCATGCTACAAACTATCATCATCGCGTGGTGAGGAGAGCTTTGGCGTTCTAGGATCTGGTGCGCACAGTCAGTGCAAATTGGCTTCCAGTAACATTTTAAGAACCCTGCTAATGGAAAGGTGCTGGTTTTGATGTTCAAAACAGAAAGATTCACAACGTAAACCTGAAACCGCTGCGCACTACAGCCTGAAAACGTCATTGCCACAATTGATTTCGCAAAGAAAGCTTGACACCTGTCAGTTGACCATGATTGGGGTCATACCACATGATATATCTGAACGAGGACAACGGAGGTGTGATCTAGAAGCACTTCAAGAATTTGAAAAAAGTCTTGCAACGGCGAAGGAGGAATTGATTTTTCGATCAGCTTGGAAACTTACTCGCCATTTCTTCAGCGCGGATATCTCGCAAACTGGTAAGCATCAAGTTAACGTGAATGCACATTAGGAAGCGGCAATATTCTACTTTACAAAGTTCTTCTCGCAGTTGTGAAGGCTCAACAAGGAAGAATATGTGCCTTCACGCTCTCCAACTGCGAGAACAAAGAGTGAGAATTTGCATGCCATCTTCCTCGAAAGCTCTATGGACACGTCTGAAAAGGAGCTTAACACAACATGGAAAGAAAGGAGTAGAGTGCTTATAGAATCCACTTTTTCTTGAAATAATAGTTAATAGAGGGAGTTATAGTCTCCGAGTAGGAGTGTATTCAGCGATTTCTCGGATTGGCCCGCTCTAGCTGCCGATTTTGCTCTTCGTGTGTGTGGTCGTTGCGCAAAATTGTTCATTTGCACTTGTAGTTACTGCTTGCTTGCCTCTGTTTTTCTTCTTTCGCTTTTTCCTATTCAAGTTTCCTTCTCTATTTCGAGTTCCCTTTCTGTTTTGCTCTTGCTCTCTCGGCCCTCGAGCAATTGAGTCCCTATTCAGGTTATTAATCGGCTTGACGGAATACTTAGTTTCTTGTTTTTTTGTTTTTCTTTTGAGATGTATTTATTAGCCTTCTCAATCGCAGTTCGCTATGTAAATATTATTGCAAGAGTGCTGGCTTATTACAAAACCAGTTTTGCTCCGCTCGCTAACGCTCGCATGTCAACGTAAGTTTAAGTGAAACTGATTATAGCCGGGCTATTGTTTTGAGTAACGTAGGTTTTCAATGGATTTAGCTGTTGGTATTATGAAAACAGATGATAAAGCAGTGATTTCTCACAGTGCGTCTATACCAATGAAATTCTATCTTTTTTCTGAGACTAACAAAATCTAGCAGCCGAATGAGCATTGGATAACTAATACAGTTACTTGGACTGGTTATTATCAGCCCTCAGCGTAAACGTCTGCCATGCGTTGGGTATTGAGATGGTGTAGCAGTCTAGTCACCTCCTATGCCTGCGATGAGATAGAAATACCTATGCTTATTGTATTTTCACAGACAGCGAGCATTTGATAAGCTCCAGCAGATTAGTAGTCGAATGGATCACGACGACATCGCGAAGAAATGCGATGATTTCTCATCGCACATCTAGATATGAACTTCAGTGGCATTTGCCTTCCAACGTTCCTTATCAACCCCTTAGCAGCTGTTATCACTTTCTGCTCCCCCCAAATATGTTCCGGTCCCACCCCCTACATCATATCTGCAGAGCAACGCCTCAGTGCTGCTGGGCCGTGCTCTGTTAATCTCGCGAAATTTACTTTCCAACGCCTCTTATCAACCCCTATCAGCTATGATCATTTTCAGGTCCCCACCAAATATGCTTTCGTCCCACCTCCTATATCATACCTGAGAATCAAATCTTGACGGCAGCTGGTGCGCGCGCTATGAATTTCCGGTCAAACACACGACCACCAGACACACTCAGCCGATTATATATAGCAGGACATTTTAATACGTTGACGACGAGCTATTTTTACTTGGCGTGCGCATGGGACATTTCTTGCATGCTAAGCGTCGGTAACTACAGGGCAAAATTTATTTGTAGCTTTTCAAAATCTCGAAATACACAAATTGCTCTTGACTAGAATGCTCCAGACACATTTAGAAACAAAGAAAAGTTGTCAGTACTGGATGTTAGATGAAATTTCAGTGACTTCGCCTAACATTCTCAAAACTTAAAGGAAACTGACATAAAGAGGGGAATTCCACGCAATCTTTCTTTTTGTTATTAAAAAAATTTTAATGGAATCGGTATTCTACTAACACCTAAAATCTCCTGAGTGCAAAAATCTGCCCGCCTGACCAAATGACGCCTCTGTTTGACTGTTAACTTGTTTTGTGATCAAATTAGGGGACCGAATTGATTTGAACAAGTCAATGTAAGATTAGAAAAATCGCTTAAGAAAGGATCCGGACACGGGAAGCCAAGTATGTACTTTTGTGTTTACCTACGAGTGACACTGTGCCTACTTGTGCCTACTTGACCATCAAAGCCAGGTCAATTTCAGAAGGGTAGAAATGGGCATGTACTGCGGCGACCTCATAGTAAAAGTTGATATGTACATCTTCAATGACATTTTCACATTGCTGATAGTAGGAATTTGTGGCTGTCATTAATTGGTAGAGCATTTTTGAAGCTGATAATTAATACAAGAAAAGAGTTCTTGCAGTTGGGAAGATTACTGGTCGCAGCCTGGTTCAGTATCTTGGCCCTTTAGTGATTATTGAAATGAAAAACCTGGGGTTCTCATTTGTTTCTTTGCTTACAAGCTGTCGGTCACCATTGACCGAGATCGTCCAATGGGACAAACTGCCTGTCCGTCATCATTGACCAACATATTCGTGTTAACGCCCTTTGCTACTGCCGTTGCACGAACCCCGGCCTGGAGTTGGATCCGGGCTCTAATCACTGTGGACGCAGTGATCGGTGGATGACAGCATCCATGGGGCATGTTTTACTGTGTTCTGAAGGTTTTGAGGGTTAGTAGAGAGTTACTAGCTTTTTGTGTTCATATGGGCAATAGATAAAATTAATGTTAACCAACACTTCTCGGGGGTGCGCCATGTATTTGATTCTGAAGCATTTTTTGGTTTGCGGCCGAATGTGTGAAGGTGTATAACTGTGACTGCTTCGTGTCTAAACTAATGTGGAGTCAATTAACAATCTGAAAAGGTAGAAAGTAATGCTAACTTGAGGAGAATTTAGACAGTACTTTCAGGATAGGAACTGGTTTCAGCAGCACTGCTTGCCCTTTGCTCCTTTTGCGCAAATAGAGCCACTGATCCTTATTTTGAACGTGGATCAATGAAGGTAGAATGGAGTCGTATGGAAATTTCTTTCAGGAGGGGAGAGAAGGTCTTTCTGACATGGCCACTCCCTTGACGCGATTTTCTTCCCAGTACTAAGTGGTGAGCCAGTGTCGAATGTCCAAAAAAGGAGATAATTTCGTCAAGAGCACGCAAAATAGGACCACCTGTAGTGTATAGACGAGTTCGTGGATGCGACGTGGGAGTAACCCTTACTAGGGACAAGCGAAGGCGGATCGTACCGTTGGGATTGGGAACCGCTGAGCCGAGTCAGCGATCTGGGGCACGGCGCAGTCCATCTTCTACGTAGAACCACAAAGGCTCTTCTCTGAGTCACTGAGGCTCCTCCCAACTGGCCACTGAGGGCAGATCACCGAGCCACAAAGGCTCTACTAACGAGCCATCAAGGCTTTCACCTTTCAGCCACTAAGCTACTCCTCTTTCCCTTAGCTTAGGGTCTTTTTCCTGCGGATCCTACGGCTGGCCCCCAACTACAAGACTAAGGCACCACACAGATGCCAGATGATGGAAACGCTGAAGCTGGAGAATAGAACACTGCAGGTGGATCACTGAAACGTCAAGAACCACTGCAGCTCTGGAACGCCGATCTTAACATCACGACCATTTTTATTGGGAGCTTCCCGCGCAAATCCTTTCTTCAAAGGTGGCCCTTCATGACCCCCGCGATCAACAATTATCGCCTTCTCGTTGATATAGAGTGCTCAGACCATCTGATCTACAGCTGATCTGTTGAGACCAGGATGCCCTTCCTGACACATTTTGTTTTCCCGTAAACCTTCAACCCTGGACTCGCCAGCAACCAAGGAAGAGGACCTGAGAAGCCAATTTCAATAGCCGTTATCATGCCAACAAGGATATGTTTTGGTTAATATTGCTTTGCCTAGACAAAAGTGTAGGTGCAGCCGCTTGAAGTGAGATGCTCTTTGAAAATGAAACCGAGCATGACTGCTAATGGTAACCTACTGGGTGGAGCGTTTTTGGGGAGTCACATTTTATAGTTCGAAGCCTTACTACAACTAGCTTTCCTGGTGAAGCGCCCCACCTTCGTCCTCTGGCTACCAGAGTCCATATTGCTGGTGCGCACCTACTTTTTTCTAAACACTGCTTTTGATGTACTATATTGGCGTGCAAGAAATCGTACATACCGTGTAGGGTAGAAGGCTCTCAGTTA